TCTCTAAAAAAAAAAAAAAAAAAAAAAAAAAAAAGGACAAAAAAAAAAAAAAAAAAAAAAAAAAAAAAAAAAAACTAGTTAATTTTTTAAAAAACTAATTTTAACTCTAAAAGCCACTATAGAACAAGTTTGCACCTGAAAAGCTAAAAGACCATTAACCAAATCCTTTCCACAAATACTTCACAGGTAACAGGTTAATGGTGGGACCAGGCTTGTCAAGCAGAAGACTCCAGTCAGACCCTGATCAGCTGCCTGGGTCAGACGGCAGTTCTAGCCTTACATGAAGTACCAGGAAAGGGCAATCTCTGTGTAAAGTCTAGTTACCATTTTGCCTAGAAACTTAAAGTTGTTAAAAATCCAAGCCAATTAAGATAAGTCTTATCTTTTTAAATCAATTTGGGGAGGCTGAGGTGGGCACAGCACTTGAGGTCAGGAGTTTGTGATCAGCCTGGCCAACATGGCAAAACCCCAGCTCTACTAAAAATACAAAAATTAGTTGGGGCCAGGCATGGTAGCTCATGCCTGTAATCTCAGCACTTTGAGAGGTCGAAGTGGGGGAATCACCTGAGGTGAGGAGATCGAGACCAGCCTGACCAACATAGCAAAACCCTGTCTCTACTAAAAATACAAAAGTTAGCTGGGCATGGTGGTGCATATCTGTAATCCCAGCTACTCAGGAGGCTGAGACATGAGAATTGATTGGACCTGGGAGGCAGAGGTTGCAGTGAGCTGAGATGGCACAACTGCACACCAGTCTCGGCGACACAGCAAGACTCTATCTCAAACAAAAACAAACACAAATCCAAGAATTACATCATTTTGGCTAGGCATGGTGGCTCATGCCTGTAATCCCAGCCCTTTGGGAGGCTGAGGCAAGAGGATTGCTTCTTGAGCCCAGGAGTTAAAGACCAGCCTGGGCAACATAGTGAAACTCCATCTCCAGAAAAAACAAAAAAAATTAGCTGGTGTGGTGGCGTACACCTGTGGTCCCAGCTACTACAGAGGCTGAGGTGGGAGGATTGCTGGGGCCCAGGAGGTTGAGGCTGCAGTGAGCCAAGGTCATGCTGGTGTACAAAACAGAGACCCTGAGTCAAAAAAGCAAAAAAATAAAAACAGAAAAATCACTTTTGGATAGCAGTATATATACACTTTACAAGCCAGCAAAAATGTCAAATAATGTAAGCACAACTTCCAAAATACAACTCTGTGCTGACTGTGGGGGTAAAGTTGACAAAACAGCTTTCCCTAAAAAGGATGTGCTCTTGTGATGTCAGCTAAATAAATTGTGACAAGAACACCTGTAATATAAAGAGCTCATATATACATACATACATACATATATATATATGTATGTGTGTATATATAATAGTTGGAGCATACACATATTAATAGGATTTTACGTACTTTTCAAATATACCATTAGATACTACCCTTCAGTTAACAAAACAAACACTGGTAGTTTAATGAAAGGAGTACATTTTGCATCAAGCCACCATGCCTGGCTAATTTTTAAAGTTTTTTTTTTTTTTTNTTTTTTTGAGACGGAGTTTCGCTCTTGTTGCCCAGGCTGGAGTGCAATGGCGCGATCTCGGCTCACCGCAACCTCCGCCTCCCGGGTTCAGGCAATTCTCCTGCCCCAGCCTCCTGAGTCGCTGTGATTACAGGCACACACCACCATGCCCAGCTAATTAATTTTTAAAGTTTTTATAGAGATAGGGTTTCATTGCTCAACCCATGTTGCCCAGGCTGGTCTTGAACTCTTGGGCTCAAGTGATCCTCCGATCAGCCTCTTAAAGTGCTGGTATTATAGGTGTGAGCCACCACACCTGGCCTAAAGCCTTATTTTTTTAAAACTATATTTCAAGCAAGATCCTAAGTGATTAATTTACTGTTTGCATAACAGCAAAAGATAAACATCTCTTTGTACCTTCTGTTACTGAGTATGAAGTCATTCATTAGATTTCAAAATGACCTTTTATTCAATTCCAGTATTTAAAAGCCATCCTAACACAGCTGCTTTACTCATTTCTCAGGTAGCTACTATATGCAATAAATTAACTTCTTTCCTATGCATTTAAAGTGATGCTAGTTATATAACTTAAATAATTTTCTGTGGTTCACATTAGGAACTCTAGTTGAGAAAGACTATGATAGGTAGACAAAGTGTTAATACTCCCTATCAAAAGCTTCTACACACCTGTAGCTGCACCCCTTTCTTGTCTTCATTTTCCACATGAAGACGAATTCGGCCATATTTGTCATCTGAGATCCTAAGCATGATCATGCCATGCAACTCCATATTCTGTAATCCTCCATCTCGTCCACAGGTTAATGTGATCTTTTCTTCAATCTTCATATGTACACTATAAAGAAAAAGTAATAGGTTTGTTCAGAAAGGTAGAAACCAGTCCCTTTCTCCAGGGTCTAATGATTAACCATCAACAACCTTTTTTTAAAGGTGCTACTGTTACAGTTATCAACATTTAAAACACTATACCCTTTGATCCAATAATTCCTCAAAAGACTCTATCCTACAGATAAATTCTCATCTGTACAAAACAATTTGCTATTCACTGAAGAATTGTTTGTAATGGCAAACCTTTTTAAACAAATGTCTTGCCAATAGGGGGTTGCTTAAAGAAAGGCATATCCACACAAATGAATAGTAAGCAATGCTAAGAAAACAAACAACTGGGCCGGGCGCGGTGGCTCATGCCTGTAATCCCAGCACTTTGGGAGGCCGAGGCGGGCGGATCACCAGGTCAAGAGATCAAAACCATCCTGGCCAACATGATGAAACCCCGTCTCTCTAAAAAAAAAAAAAAAAAAAAAAAAAAAAAAAAAAACCCCAAACCTTTTAAAAAAAAAAAAAAAAAAAAAAAACCTGAAAAAACTTTCTATTTAAAAACATTTTCAAGCTTCACAAAATTAAAATTATACAAGGAAGACATATATAT